TTTTGAGACAGAGTCTCGCTCTGTCGCCCAGGCTGGAGTGCAGCGGCATGATCTCGGCTCACTGCAAGCTCTGTCTCCCAGGTTCACACCATTCTCCTGCCTCAGCCTCCCGAGTGGCTGGGACTACAAGGCGTCTACCACCACACCCAGCTAATGTTTTGTATTTTTAGTAGAGACGGGGTTTCACTGTGTTAGCCAGGATGGTCTCAATCTCCTGACCTCGTGATCCACCCGCCTCAGCCTCTCAAAGCGCTGAGATTACAGGTGTGAGTCACCGTGCCCAGCTTCTTTTGCCCTCTTTCTAATGGGGTTATTTGCAGTATTTTGCCAAGGTTTTGTTTTGTTTTGAGACGGACACTCACTCTGTCGCCCAGGTTGGAGTGCACTGTCTTGGCTCACTGCAACCTCCACCTCCCAGGTTCAAGCGATTCTCCTGCCTCGGCCTCCCAAGTAGCTGGGATTACAGGCGTGTGCCACTGCGCCCGACTAATTTTTGTATATTTAGTAGACACGGGGTTTCACCATGTTGGCCAGGCTGGTCTCGAACTCCTGACCTCGTGATCCGCCCACTTTGGCCTTTCAAAATGTTGGGATCACAGGTGTGAGTCACCGCGTCTGGCCTTTCATTGAGTTTTAAGAGTTGTTTATCTATGTATTTATTTAATACTAGTCCTTTGTCAGATAGGTGGTTTGCAAATATTTTTTAATTTTGATGAAGTCCAGCTTATCAATTTTTCTTTTTATGGCTCATACTTTTGGGGTCAAGTCTAAGAATTCCTTGCTCTAGCTAGATCCTCAAGATTTTCTTCTGGTCATCACATCACACGGCCGCCGCAGGGACCAGACCCGGACGGCTCCAGAGCCTCTGCACCCAGAGGGTGGGGGGGTGGGCGACGGTGGCGACGCTTCGGCTCCTCCTGAGCTGCCTGCTGGCCCCATGCCCCACTCCATCCTCACAGGCTGGGGATGGGCCCTGGCGCGGCTGTGTGGTTTCAGGAGCAGAGTTGCAGAATCCAAGGACCCATTTTGTTCTTTCTTTGCACTGCTTTATGGGAGGCATTATGGCCCCCAAAGACATAATGACAAATACTCATGCTAAATCCATCCTCAATTCAATGAATTCCCTCAGGAAAAGCAATACCCTATGATGTGACATTGAGAGTAGAGCAGAAAGACTTCCCTGCCCATTGGATTGTGCTGGTTGCCTGTAGTGATTACTTCTGTGCCATGTTCACTAGTGAGCTTTCACAGAAGGGGAAACCTTATGTTGACATCCAAAGTTTGACTGCCTCTACCATGGACATTTTATCGGACTTTGTGCACACAGAAACAGTACATGTGACAGAATGCACAAGAACTGCTTCCTGCAACCTGTCTGCTTCAGTTGAAAGGTGTGAAACAAGCCTGTTGTGAGTTCTTAGTCAGTTGGACCCTTCTAATTGCCTGGGTTATTAGGGATTTTGCTAAAACCCCAATTGTATTGACCTGATGCAAGCAGCCAGAAGCATTTTCCTGAAGTGGTATAGCATGAAGAGTTCATTCTTCTGAGTCAAGGAGGGGTGGAAAAGCTAATCAAGTGCGATGAAATTCAGGTGGATTCTGAAGAGCCAGTCTTTGAGGCTGTCATCAACTGCCTGAAGCATGTCAAGAAACAGCGGGAAAAACCCTTGCCTAACCTGCTACAGTATGTGCGGATGCCCCTGCTAACCCCCAGGTATATCACAGATGTAACAGATGCTGAGCCTTTCTTCCGCTGTAGTTTACAATGCAGGGATCTGGTGGATGAAGCAAAGAAGTTCATCTGAGGCCTGAACTTCAGTGTCAGATGCAGGGACCCAGGACAAGGGCTCACCTAGGAGCCAATGAAGTGCTTTTGGTGGCTGGGGGCTTCGGAAGCCAGCAGTCTCCCATTGACGTGGTAGAGAAATATGACCCTAAGACTCAGGAGTGGAGATTTTTGCAAACATCACTCGTAACAGACATTATGTGGCCTCAGTGTCCCTACATGACCGAATCTACATTATTGGTGGCTATGATAGCTGTTCCTGCCTTAGTTCAGTGGAATGTCTAGACTACACAGCAGATGAGGATGGGGTCTGGTATTCTGTGACCCCGATGAATGTCTGACAAGGTCTTGCTGGAGCCACCACCCGGGGAGATATGATCTATGTCTCTGGAGACTTTGATGGAAGCAGGTGTCACACCAGTATGGAGTGGTATGATCCAAACATTGACCAGTGGAGCATGCTGGGAGATATGCAGGCAGCCCAGGAAGGTGCTGGACCCGTAGTGGCCAGCGGAGTGATCCACTGTCTAGGAGGGTATGATGGCTTGAATATCTTAAATTCAGTTGAGAAATATACCCTCATACAGGACATCGGACTAATGTTACATCAATGGCCATCGAGTGTTCTGGTGTGGGAGTAGCCCTGCTGAATGACCATATTTATGTGGTGGGGGGATTTGATGGTACAGCCCACCTTTCTTCCAATGAAGCATACAACATTCTCACTGATTCCTGGACAAGTGTCACCAATATGACCACTCCACGATGCAATGTAGGGGCCACAGTGCTTTGGGGGAGACTCTATGCAACTTCAGGATATGATGGTAATTCCCTGCTAAGTAGCATTGAATGTTATGACCCTATCATCGACAGCTGGGAAGTCGTGACATCCATGGGAACCCAGCGCTGTGATGCTGGTGTGTGTTCTCCACAAGAAGTGACCATTGTTGGAGCACCATCCAGAGCTAGTGACCAGTCCAGCGGACAGTTAGTGGGAGAATCAAGAATCCTTTCCAGAATGTCTGTTTCTCACTGTGTGCACAGGGTGATTACAGGCACCAGTGCAGTGATGATTGTACTTATTTGACACATACTCCCCCTCGTCCTGGTTGTTGTTCCTGAGAAGGGTGGGTAACATACTCCAGGGAAAAGAATGTACATTGAATGGATGTAAGAGACCACATGACCTCTCCCACTGCTTTGGGGAGCACTTTCCTGTCATTTCTAACTTACCACGTGCTTGGTGTACTATATGTATGTTGTGCCTCATACGTCGCAAAGAACTAAGGTGAGTATTGCCTACTAGATGTGGGTAATATCCAGCCTAGATGATTGGAAGGATACCAATTTAGGTAAACTTGGTAAAATTCAAGTATTTTTTTTTTTTTTTCCAAGAACAAATACATTTTCTAATCTCCAGGTAGCTAGGGGCAACACAGTTCCATTCTAGAGAGAAACAAAAGGGAAAACCCCACAAAACTTTGGGGCCAAGGGAGAGAGACTCATCTGACACTTCTTTTGGAGGTCAGGATTTATATATCACAAATGAAGTTAGAATAAGTGAAGTAAACTGAACTGGATGGAATGTCAGTGAACTTAGAACAGCACTGAAGTATTACATAGCTTGGAAGATGGAGAAGGGCATATTATTTGAAAGATCTTTTTATTTCCCCAAGGTCTTTCGCACCTTGGGGAAATAAAAGAGTGAACAAATATTGGGATGAGAGAAGATGACATCAATGTGGGAGTTCGGTATAACTGGGGATAAACTAGAAGTACCTGTGATTTTACAGTTGTCTTATTACCTGCCAGGGCTCATCTAGCCATGGCAATGTTTGCCTTGAATGGGGGTGAAAGACTTTCTTTGTTGAATCAAATACTACTACACTATTACACTTCCACACTATTTATTTGGGGATGGGCTGGGAGTGACAGTAGCCTACTATTTCAGCTACCTGATTACTGTCCCATTCTTTCAGAAGCACACTTCTGCCAAGGAGTGGTTTGTACTGCTGTGTTTGGTACATTTAGTCTTTTTTCTGCTATAAGTTTTCCTTACCTGTCGTTTAGTGTATATTTTATTCATCACAGGACAGAATAACCAAGGACAACCAAAATCCTTTTGTTAGTTTTAGTACCTCAACTATCAACATTTCTGGGCTATCATTCAATATTCCTCTGTGTCATGGAGTGAAATTCTTGTTTTATAGGTATTGGGAGCGTGGGAATGTGATAACCTAAACAACCTTTGCTCTGAAATTCCATTTTTCCCTCTTTCCCTGAATTGTATTAACCCACAGAGTTAATTTCCTTTGTATTTTTTAAAGAAAATATTAAAAATCAATAATCTCAAAAAAAAAAAATTTTCTTTTTTTTCCTAGAAGTTTTATGGTTTTACATTTAACTCCATAAGCCATTTTGAATTAATTTTGGTGTACGGTATGGGACTTGGGTTGATGTCCATTTTTTTGCCGATGGATATCTAATTGCTCCAACACTATTTGCTGAAAGATATCTTTCCTCCACTCTATTGCTTCTGCACCTTTGTCCAAAATCATGTGTAACACAACTGGGCATGTTTACCCGGGTCTGTGGGTTTTCCATTCTGTTTCACTGATCTATGTGTCTAACACTCTATCCACACCACAGCTTTGATTACTGTAGCTATGTACTAATCTTGAAATTGGGCAGATTCCTCCCATTTTATTGTTCTTTTTCAAAATTATTTGAGCTATTCTAGTTCCTTTGCCTTTATATATAAATTTCAGAATAATCTCATTTACATCTACTGTCACAAGTAAAATCAAATCAAAATTTAAAAATTACTTATTTTAAAATTTATTTTATTATTATTTTTTGAGACAGAGTCTCACTCTGTCACCCAGGCTGGAGTGCAGTGGCACAAACTTGGCTCATTGCAACCTCTGCCTCCTGGCTTCAAGCGATTCTTGTGCCTCAGCCTCCCGAGTAGCTGGGATTACAGGTGTGTGGCACCACACCCAGCTAATATTTGTATTTTTAGTAGAGACGGGGTTTCACCATGTTGGTGAGGCTGGTCTTGAACTCCTGACCTCAAGTGATACACCATCCTCGGCCTTCCAAAGTGCCAGGATTACAGACATGAGCCACTGCACCCGGCAATAAAAAAAAATTTTAGGCTGGGTGTAATGGCTCACTTCTCTAATCCCTGCACGTCGGCCGAGGCAGGCAGATCACTTGAGACCAGGGGTTCAAGAACAGCCTGGGCTATAAATATGGTGAAACCCTCATGATACTAAAAATATAAATACTAGCTGGGCATGGTGGTGCTCACCTGTAATCCCAGCTACTCAGGAGGCTGAGGCAGGAGAATCACTTGAACCAGTGAGGCAGAGGTTGCAGTGAGCCAGGGTCATGACACTTCATTCCAGCCTGGGTGACAGAGTGAGACTCTGTCTCAAAAAATAAACAAATAAAAATATTTTAAAAAGCTTATTGTGCCTGTAAAAGATTTCATGAACCAAGAAACCCCAAACTGGAAGTGGTATGAAGCCCCAATTCACAGCAGTTACAGCACAGTTTATAAAGCATGAATGAGGAAGTATATTGTTCCCTACTGTACATAAGCTTTCTTTGTAATGCTATCACACTGAGGGAGGACAGCTTAACTTTCAGTTACATGGCTAGAGGCAGTTGGCCTAGGGGCATATCCAAACCTCAGCTTCCATTTTCATTTTCCCTTAATAGTACAAAAAACATTCCTGAAGTTTTGATAGAAATACTAGTATTCCTGTATTAATACTATACCAATATAAGGAATACTGTATTAATATATGTATTATTAATTGGGTTGAGAAAGAACTGACATTCTTACTATTGGACTCTTCCAATCCATGGACTTGGTATGTCTCTCCATCTATTCACATCTTCTTTTATTTCTTTCATCGGTTTTTTGTAATATTCAGTGTACCAATCCTGTGAGGTTTTTTGTTTGTTTTCAGACAGAGTCTTGCTCTGTTGCCCAGGCTGGAATGCAGTGGTGTGATCTCGGCTCACTGCAACCTTTGCCTCCCGGGTTCACGCCATTCTCCTGCTTCAACCTCCAGAGTAGCTGGGACTACAGGCGCCCGCCACCACGCCCAGCTAATTTTTATATTTTTAATAGAGATGGGGTTTCACCATGTTGGCCAGGCTGGTCTTTAACTCCTGACCTCAGGTGATCTGCCCGCCTGGGCCTCCCAAAGTGCTGAGATTACAGGCGTGAGCCACTGTGTCCTGCCAACATGACCTATCCTTTTTCATTCCCCAACATCTGATCCATCAGCAAGCCTGATCAGTTTACCTCCACACTACACTCTGAACCCTCCCATCTCCCTCCAGCTCCACAGCTGTGTGTCAGCACAGGTTACTGCTGCCTTCAACCCAGACCACGCGATGACCCAGGGCCAGCCTCACTTGACTTGGGTTGATGTCCATTTTTTTGCCGATGGATATCTAATTGCTCCAACACTATTTGCTGAAAGATATCTTTCCTCCACTCTATTGCTTCTGCACCTTTGTCCAAAATCATGTGTAACACAACTGGGCATGTTTACCCGGGTCTGTGGGTTTTCCATTCTGTTTCACTGATCTATGTGTCTAACACTCTATCCACACCACAGCTTTGATTACTGTAGCTATGTACTAATCTTGAAATTGGGCAGATTCCTCCCATTTTATTGTTCTTTTTCAAAATTATTTGAGCTATTCTAGTTCCTTTGCCTTTATATATAAATTTCAGAATAATCTCATTTACATCTACTGTCACAAGTAAAATCAAATCAAAATTTAAAAATTACTTATTTTAAAATTTATTTTATTATTATTTTTTGAGACAGAGTCTCACTCTGTCACCCAGGCTGGAGTGCAGTGGCACAAACTTGGCTCATTGCAACCTCTGCCTCCTGGCTTCAAGCGATTCTTGTGCCTCAGCCTCCCGAGTAGCTGGGATTACAGGTGTGTGGCACCACACCCAGCTAATATTTGTATTTTTAGTAGAGACGGGGTTTCACCATGTTGGTGAGGCTGGTCTTGAACTCCTGACCTCAAGTGATACACCATCCTCGGCCTTCCAAAGTGCCAGGATTACAGACATGAGCCACTGCACCCGGCAATAAAAAAAAATTTTAGGCTGGGTGTAATGGCTCACTTCTCTAATCCCTGCACGTCGGCCGAGGCAGGCAGATCACTTGAGACCAGGGGTTCAAGAACAGCCTGGGCTATAAATATGGTGAAACCCTCATGATACTAAAAATATAAATACTAGCTGGGCATGGTGGTGCTCACCTGTAATCCCAGCTACTCAGGAGGCTGAGGCAGGAGAATCACTTGAACCAGTGAGGCAGAGGTTGCAGTGAGCCAGGGTCATGACACTTCATTCCAGCCTGGGTGACAGAGTGAGACTCTGTCTCAAAAAATAAACAAATAAAAATATTTTAAAAAGCTTATTGTGCCTGTAAAAGATTTCATGAACCAAGAAACCCCAAACTGGAAGTGGTATGAAGCCCCAATTCACAGCAGTTACAGCACAGTTTATAAAGCATGAATGAGGAAGTATATTGTTCCCTACTGTACATAAGCTTTCTTTGTAATGCTATCACACTGAGGGAGGACAGCTTAACTTTCAGTTACATGGCTAGAGGCAGTTGGCCTAGGGGCATATCCAAACCTCAGCTTCCATTTTCATTTTCCCTTAATAGTACAAAAAACATTCCTGAAGTTTTGATAGAAATACTAGTATTCCTGTATTAATACTATACCAATATAAGGAATACTGTATTAATATATGTATTATTAATTGGGTTGAGAAAGAACTGACATTCTTACTATTGGACTCTTCCAATCCATGGACTTGGTATGTCTCTCCATCTATTCACATCTTCTTTTATTTCTTTCATCGGTTTTTTGTAATATTCAGTGTACCAATCCTGTGAGGTTTTTTGTTTGTTTTCAGACAGAGTCTTGCTCTGTTGCCCAGGCTGGAATGCAGTGGTGTGATCTCGGCTCACTGCAACCTTTGCCTCCCGGGTTCACGCCATTCTCCTGCTTCAACCTCCAGAGTAGCTGGGACTACAGGCGCCCGCCACCACGCCCAGCTAATTTTTATATTTTTAATAGAGATGGGGTTTCACCATGTTGGCCAGGCTGGTCTTTAACTCCTGACCTCAGGTGATCTGCCCGCCTGGGCCTCCCAAAGTGCTGAGATTACAGGCGTGAGCCACTGTGTCCTGCCAACATGACCTATCCTTTTTCATTCCCCAACATCTGATCCATCAGCAAGCCTGATCAGTTTACCTCCACACTACACTCTGAACCCTCCCATCTCCCTCCAGCTCCACAGCTGTGTGTCAGCACAGGTTACTGCTGCCTTCAACCCAGACCACGCGATGACCCAGGGCCAGCCTCACTTGCTCTGCTCTTGATCCTTGGGCTTTCTTTTCCTACAAGCATGCCCCATGTTTCTTCCTCTGCTCAGGAAAAGCTGTGAGCCCGTCTCCTGCCCTGGAAGGTCCTTCTGTTAGACTAGGCAGATGGTTAGATATGAGCAGGGAAGTGGATTCCAGGTCGGCCTCAGCCCCTAGCATGCCCGGAAGGGACTATGACCTCTGAGACATGTTAACCACACCTGGGGTTTCAAAAGCCCCAACCCCTCTTTCAGTTGAGCTTATCCAGCTCAAATAGGAACTAACTCCACAAGGGACTTTCCACCCCAAGGAGCCTGTGTTGTATATTTTGCCCCAGTTTTGCTTGCTTCGAAAGTAACTTTTGCTCATTGTAACGGTAAAAAACACACCTCCTCGGTGAAGATTTAAGATGCTAATGAGACATGCGATAAATGCACTAGCATGTAGAGCCACAGTGCATGCGCTGCTAGACCACCCAAACAAAACATGCTTATGAGTAACACCTCTTCCCGCCCATTTATGCATAATCATTAAACCTCCCGTAAGGGAGGTTTCCCAGTGCCAGTTGGGGCGATCTTATTCTGGAGCAGCGTGCTCTGCCTCAGCCTTCAGAATGTACTCTCGCTTTTGCAATAAACTGCCTTACGCTTATCTTTGTTAATGCATGTCTCTTGCTTAAAGTCTTTTAACCAAAAAGATAAGAACTGAGGACACATTCCCAGTAACATTTCCTCCCTCTGTAAATGGTAGGTCTAATTGACATCTCCTCAGGTGGACATTCCCCAAAAAGTCCCTCTAGATTCATCCTACCAGAGCCCCCTCCCTGGAAATGCTTCAGTTCAGCCCCCTCTTCATTTCACTTACCATAATTGTAACCACTTTATTGATTTGTTTGCTGGTTAAGAGTGGTTTCTCCTACAAGGCTGTAAACACCATGGAGTGGGGAGTCTTTCTCATTTCTTGTCACCACTGGATTCCCAGGACTTGGTACTTGGTGCTTAGTAGTTGCGGAATGAATGCATGCATGAAAGAAGGAACACCGGCAGCCAGGACGCAGCTAGTTGAAAGCCAAGGCTGCCCCTCTGTGGCCAAGCTGGAGAACTGCTGCTTCCCCAGCTGCCGCAGACAAAGAAATTGCTAAGCCCCTCCCACAACACCCACCTAGGAGGCTTCCCCCATCACCCTTCCTGGAACAGAACCCAAGAGCCCTTCTTGTCCGCTTGGTCTCAAGGACTTCCTGATCTTCTCCATGCAAAATCTGCTCCTTTCCCCAGGATGGGGGTAGGGAGTGTCCTTCCAAAGAGGCTTCCTTCTCCCCAAAGAAGCTGAGAGCAAGGAGTAGGTCACAGCTTGCAGCTCACAGCTGCCCAAGAGACAGAAATCTGTGTGGGCTATGTGAATGACCTGGATAAAGAGCTGGATCCATTGAAGAGACACTAGCCCTCACTCCCTGAAGTCAAAGTCTAAGTCCCTGGGGGGATTAGGGGTCATGAGAGATACTGGAAAGAGGCTTACAAAGGCCAGAGCTCTTGCTAAACTCCCTGAGGCAGTGCAGGTAGAACCTGCCCTCCATACCATCATCTGCCTCTTGGGAATCCCCAAAGGTGTACCTGGCCCATAGCAGGTGCTCCACAAATGCTATGCCAGTACTAGCAGGGTGCATATCCTGTTCTCGGAAGCTGAGACCCAGGAAATAGGGGGCCAGCAAGGCCTGTTCCTTCCCTGGGATCCCATGTCTGGTTGTTACACCAGGCCTGAGTACCCCAAAGCCATAATATAAAAAAGAGGCACCTCCCTAAAACATCACTTTTCCACAATGAACATAATTTTAAACATCTTCAAATTGGAATAAAAGTATTATATAGGATGCACATGATTTTGTTTTCTTTTCAAGTTGTCCCAATATTCAAACATAGGATTTAATATAAAAAATAAAACTTTCAAGTGTTTCTTGGCTCTGGAAGGCCCCACCCTTCAGGGGACCTAGAGGGAAGAGGTCTGAGGATAGGCCAGTGAGCTGGGCTACTGAGGGCCCTCACCTCTCTCAGGGCCCCTTCCTGTTTAACATCTCTGGAAGTGTCCCAGCTCATCTCAGCTGCACAAAGAGCAAATGTTCTATCCACATTTGAACTACAAGGTTAAAGCAGCTTGCCAGGGCCAAGGTGGTGTGACAAGGTCTCAGCATGTGAGACTCACAAGTGGGGTGCAATTCTGAGCAATGGGGTCTGGATCCTTGATGAGCCTCCCCAGGTGGGCTGGCTGAACCTCATGGGGCCTCATCAATGCATTCAATGCAGGGTCTCTGGAGAAGCATGGATTCTGCTCACTGAGCCTGTTTCCCTGACCTGGGACAGGTCTTAACACCTGGGCCTCTCACTCTTTGCATATCCTGGGGAAGGAAATTAGGCAGGAGAAGGCCCCTCTTCTTCCTTACCTCCCTCTTGAGTGGAGCCACATATGCCCAGCAGTTGGTGGCAGGGTCGTAGCGCTCCACAGCATTCAGGTCGTTGTGGTAGTCACGGCCCGCCACAGCGTAGATGTACCTGCCTACAACACACACGGACAGGTCGGCGTGCTCCTGCTGCAGGGACTGGATCTGGAACCAGCGGTTGTGCCGTGGGTCATACCTGTGCCAAGATATGAGGAAAGCACAGCACTGACTAGGCAGGGAGGCTGCCCCACAGGCTTGCACCTCTTGTTCTGGTCCCATTTCTGCTTTGCCTCGGCCCAGCCTGAACCCTCCCCAACTGCCCCACACACCAGTGCACACCGATCTACAGCCAGGCCTGCAGGCTGTTACACACCTGAGCACAGGTGCTTCCCCAAACACAGAATGGAAGGAGTGGCCAGAAGCCTTCTGTGTTTCCACCTAACTGTCCACCTGGGCTGTCCAGTGGCTTCTTTTTTTTTTTTTTTTTTTTCTTTTTTTGTGAGACTGGGTCTCTCTGTCCCCTAGGCTGAAGTGGAAGTGGAAGTGCAGTGGCACAATCATGGCTCACTGTAGCCTCGACCTCCTGGGCTTAAGTGATCCTACCACCTCAGTCTCCCGAGTAGCTGGGACTAGAGGTATGCACCACTACATCAACTATTTTTTTTTTTTTTTTGATAAAGACAAGATCTTGACACCTGTGACATATATTGTCCAGGCTGGTCTCAAACTCCTGGACTTAGGCAATCCTCCTGCCTCAGCTTCAATGGCTGTACAGCCACTTCCATCTCACTTACCTCATCTCCTCGTCCACATAGCCTTGCTCCCACTCAGGAGGGCCTCCAAATACAGCCTCTCCACTGGATGGGTGCATCAGCCCCCTCACTGGCCTCCCGGCCTTGAACTTCCCCCAGCACTTCATCAGGAGTGGTCTGCTCAGGCACACCCTGCACACAGCACCCATCATACCCTCAAGCTTTGTCAACAGCAGCACACAAGGCTCTAGTCATCGTACTTTCACCTCCTCCCACCATGCTGCCAGCCCCGAGTTTCCTGACCTCCCCTCCACTCAAGGCCTCCCTCTCTGGGAAACTGGAAAGGGTTAACTCCCACCCTGGACTGCAGGCTTTGTAAGGGCAGGGTATGTGAGATTCCAGGGACCCCCCATGGGAGAAAAGGCACTGGACTCGCTGCAGCAGGCCCATGAGGGTAGAGGAGTCTGGCTAGGACCCAAGGGGGGCTCCTGGGCTGAGCACCAACAGGGAGCATGGCCTGCAGTGTGGAGCAGAGATGATCATAGAGCCATGAGGGGCCAGGACCCAGTGAGCTCAAAGCCAGTGTCTGAAGCCTCCTTGCCCAACAGCCCACAGATAGTTACAGCCTCTTTCAGACAAGTGTTTTTATTTCTCCAGAGGAAGAGTTATTCCAAAGAGAACAAGTCTAACTTCAACTGGCTCACAAGACAGTAACCAAAATTTTCTTTGGCCTGTGCCCTATGCTGGTCAGTGAAAAGATCAGTTTCATCCTTTGCTCCAAAGCACAAGTTAGCTGTGCTCTGCTGCTGCTTCCTCCAGCCCCTGCAGCGTGGCCAGCCCCTCCCTGCCTACCAGGAATGCAGCAAACAAGAGCCTCAGGAGGCAGGGCCAACAGGAGAGGGAACACACACCTGGGTGCCCCTGACCTGGTGTGAATCCTGGGCTCTGCCCTGTCTAGCTGGGTCTGCCTGGGCATCAGTTTTAATCTCTTGGAGTTTACTCAGTTCTGCACCTGTCCAATGAGGTGATATCACCTGCCTAGAAAAGCTATCAAGAGGAATCATAAAAGATGAGCATGAAAAGGGTCCTTGTTAACTTTGGGGTTCTAATGGATCAGGGTTCATTTCTATATTCCTAGAACTCAGTAGAGCCTTTGGCTCAGGACAGATTATGTTCTGTCTGCTGAATGAATTAAACAAAGGAATAAGATTACCAGCAATGAATCATTCATTCACTCTATCAACATTCCCAGGCCTCCCACTGTGGATGGGGCACAGTGCTCAGCACTACATCCAGAGGGAGCCTCAAGAGGTCAGGGCCCTGCCTTTCCCTGCAGAATGGAAACAGGCTAACCAGAGCAGTGCTCGATATAATGACAGACACTGTGAAGGAAAGAAAGGGAGGTAAGGAGATGAGTGACCTGCTAGTTAGCAGGGCCTGGGGAGGGCAGAGCTTCCTTCCAGTGATCAGGAAAGGCCTCCTGAGAAGGCAAGGTCTGAGACCTGCATGACCTGGGGCACAAGCCAGAATAAGGTCTGGCTAGGGACCAGCAGTCCAGGCTTGGGGCACAGCACTCACAGAGGCCCCGTCAACTGGCTGGGATGGTGCTGTTCACTGCCTTTCCTGTGCGCCATGCTCCTTTATGTACAAATCTTTCCTCTCTTGTGTTCATTCTGGCTCAATCAACATCTGCACCCCAAGTGTCTGCAACTACAGTGAGATAGGACCCTCCATGTGCTTCTGTTTGCTCTTCTCGTCTACTGTCCTAACAGCTTTTAAAGCTGAGTTCATGTGGATTTGTGGCTTCAAATTTAAAGACACATACAGGGCCGGGCGTGGTGGCTCACACCTGTAATCCCAGCACTTTGGGAGGCCGAGGCGGGTGGATCATGAGGTCAGGAGTTCAAGACCAGACTGGCCAATGTGGTGAAACCCCGTCTCCACTAAAAATATAAAAAATTAGCCAGGCATGGTGGCGTGTGCCTGTAGTTCCAGTTACTCCGGAGGCTGAGGTAGGAGAATCACCTGAACTTGGGAGGTGGAAGTTGCAGTGAGCTGATATCATGCCACTGCACTCCAGCCTGGGCGACAGAGCAAGACTCCACCCCACCAAAAAAAAAAAGACACCAACAGTGATACCATATGTCAATAATTTAGACATAGCCAAAGTTCCACTGATTTCTTATTTCCCTGTTGTGTCCTGTATCCCTCCTTCCCCTTTATTGAATTAATTTTCTACTTTATTAGAATAAGTCCTCAAGCAATATTTTTCTAATAAAAATAAGCTTTATTTTTACATATAAAGATGTAAACAATTTTAGTTATTGCTATGGACTAGATGTTTGGATTCCCCCAAAACCCCTATGTTGAAGGCCTAACCCCCAATGTGATGCTACTGGGAGGCATGGCCTTCGGGAGGTGATCAGGTCATGAGGGTGGAGCCCCATGACAGGCTTAGTGCCCAAGACTACAGCTCTTTCTCTCCACCATGTGAGAACACAGACGGAAAGGGCCCTTACCGGGACTGAACTGGCCAATACCATGATCTTGGACTTCCTAGTATCCAGACAGTGAGAAATAGAGGTATGTTGTCTAAGTCACTCCATCTGTAGTATTTGTTATAGCAGCTGAAACTGACTAGGAGAGTCACTTTAACTCAGATTTGTATCATCCTATTTTAAACTCAGATATGAACCCTAGAGCTGGTACAAAAATATTCTGGAATTCCTGTTAAATTCAGTAGACTGTGGCCAGATGTGGTGGCTCACACCTATAATCTCAGCACTTTGGGAGGCTGAGGCAGGCAGATCACGAGGTCAGGAGATCAAGACTGGCTAACCATCCTGGCTAACACGGTGAGACCCTGTCTCTACTAAAAATACAAAAAATTAGCCAGGCTGGTGGCAGGCGCCTGTAGTCCCAGCTACTCGGGAGGCTGAGGCAGGAGAATGGTGTGAACCCGGGAGGCAGAGCTTGCAGTGAGCTGAGATCACACCACTGCACTCCAGCCTAGGATACAGTGAGAGTCCGTCTCAAAAATAAAAAATAAAAAAAACAGTAGACTGTTTTTCTTCTATATTTCTATGACTTAAGCATTTGCATGACTATTAATGTTTTAATGTCTATTAAATTTTTTAAAATAAATTAAATGTACTGACCAAGCACGGTGGCTCATGCCTGTAATCTCAACACTTTGGGAGGCTGAGGTGGGCGGATCACCTGAAGTCAGGAGTTCAAGACCAGCTTGGTCAACATGGTGAAACTCCATCTCTACTAAAAATACAAAACAATGGCGGGGCGTGGTGGCTCACATCTGTAATCCCAGCACTTTGGGAGGCTGAGGCAGGTGGATCACCTGAGGTCAGGAGTTCGAGACCAGCCTGGCCAACATGGTGAAACCCCATCTCTACAAAAAATACAAAATTAGCGGGGCATAGTGGCACACACCTGTAATCCCAACTACTCAGGAGGCTGAGGCAGAATTGCTTGAACCTGGGAGGCAGAGGTTGCAGTGAGCCAAGATCACACCATCACACTCTAGCCTGGGCAGAAAAGAGCGAGACTCCATCTCAAAAAAAAACCCCCAAAACAAAAAAGTTAGCTGGGCGTGGTGGTGGATGCCTGTAATCCCAGCTATTTGGGAGGCTGAGGCAGGAGAATCACTTGAACCCAGGAGGCAGAGGTTGCAGTGAGCTGAGATCATGCCAATGCACTCCAGCCTGGGTGACAGAGCTAGACTCCTCTCAAAAAAAAAAAAAAAAAAAAAATTAAACGTACTTTAAAATATTAGCAGCCACGAAAATGCCCAGGGAAAAATCACATTATTTAAAACAAATTTTTTTAGAGACAGGGTCTCACTCTGTTGCCCAGGCTACAGTACAGGGGCATGACCACAGTTCACCGAAGTCTAAAACTCCTGAGCTCAAGTGATCCTCCTGCCTCAGCCTTCCAAGTAGCCAGGACTGCAAGCACGCACCATCAGGCCCAGCTAATTTTTTTTTTTTCGGTAGAGACGGGGTCTCGCTTTGTTGCCCAGGCTGATCTTGAATTCCTGGGCTCAAGAGATCCTGCTGCCTCAACCTCTCAAAGTGCTGGGATTATTGACATGATCTGCACATAGCCTAAATTATTATTTTAAGTAGGGTCAGGGCACATAGCAGCATGTAACCAGCTACTACTAGGTATACTATGCAGTTGGTGTTCAGTAATCCACAGGGCTATGGCTATGGGAAAGGTACAAAGAATAATGTAGATAATATAGATACAAAGAAAGAAGGAATGAAAGAAAAAAAGTAGTATCTTGGAGACAAACACCATTTGCTCCAAGAGAGGTAAGGTTTTAAAATATGCGGTTTCTGTATCAATGCTTTAAGATATAACCTGGTAAGTAACTCATCAAAATGCAAAGCCTAATTTACTGTAAAATCTTGTTTCCTTATATTCTAAAAGCCTATAGCTTTTAGAATTCACCAGTTCTAAGGCTGATGAAATGAGAAAGCAGAGAAAGATCCAAACTCTTAGAATATTCAAATTAAGGATTCATGTGGAAGTTTTGAGTCCACTGGAAGGTTAATGAAGCCTTCATTCTGGAGAAATGATACACCCCTGGGTTAACCAGTAGGGCTGTGGCCCTTCCCGCCACTTCCACTCTGTGGGTACCTACTCTCTCAAGGCAGGTCTTGCCGACCCCACTTGCCATTGTGATCCTACTCTCAGACAGGGGTTTGGGACTGGTTATTGGTTACAGGGGCTAATATTAGCATTACTCAGAGTTCAGCTTTGGTCTCACAAACACCCCTTCACAAGGGGAAATTCATACTCCCACTGTAAGTGAAAGTGAGATTAATGGCCCATAGCAGGTGGACAGAGGACAGGGGCAGGCAGAATCCCTAGCTGTCACCCCCAGGGACAGTTCTGTGGAAACATCCAGCATCCCTGCTGGGCACACAGCTGTCTCTACCTTCTGCTAAGGGTCAGAGGCCAAAACACTCTGGAGAGATTGGCTTTGCAGGTCTGTAGGTTACTCTCAGCAGGGTGGTCTGGCCTTGGCCCCCCAACTGGGAAACCGAGTCCCCTAAAAAAGAAGGTTTAAGGTTTGGCCAGAGGGAAGTCTGAACCTGGTGTGGCCACATCCACTGGGGGGACAACTTTTGTTTAGGGAGGAAATAAAGGTAGCTGTTTCCTTTTTTCTGAAACCTGCCCTTCCTCATACTTAACCACAATGTGTTATTGCCAACCTCTGAGTCTCATCAGCTTAACAAAGGAGATCACTTTCTGCGGCCAGGAGTAGAGAGGTGGCCTAGAAATGGTCTTCTCCTCCTTGGCCAGGATCACTATGCTTGATTCCAAGTGGCATGGCCAGGCCAGGCCCTACCCCACCCTGATCCCAGAAAACAGAAACATGAACATGAACTCAGTCAGCATGTAGCTCATGGCTGCTGGAAATAGTTAGCAATCTCTCTCTCTCCAGCACAGCTCCGTCTTTCAGCATGAAGGGTGGGGAGATTTCTCACATGCACCAAGGTAAGGTGGAGGGATCCCTGGAAATCTAATGGTAGTTGAGGCTGGTGGGCTTGACCCACTGTCCCTTGCTCTGCTCAGAAATGCATTTGTGAGATCACAGCCTAAGTGACTGATAGAGCCAGGTGCATCCTACGGACCACAGCAGTCCACAAAACCCTCTCTTGGGAAAACTGCCTCCTCCCAGGGGAAATTGTGCTAAGTGTGTGGCTGACTGCAGGGCACAGCGAAAATGCAGCATGAGGCTCAGTGATGCTTGTTGGCCTTTACCACTCCCCTGGGCTGAAGACTGCATGCTGCTCAGGCACAGAAGCAGGAAGTCTGTTCCACCATCAGCGAGCAGGTAAGAAAGAAGAAAGAGCAAGGCAGACTGGCGAAGGGAAACTGAAACAATATGCATCAAAGCTGAGAGAGAGCATGACGGAGGGTGAGGCTGCCCAGCTGCCACTGCTCCTAGGTCCTCTCCATCCCAGTCCGACTGCCTTTCCTGCTGTGGACTCCCCTCCCGTCTCCTCCTGCACAATACACTCACAACCTAGCCCACCCCAAAGAGGCTGAGCAGGGGTCCATGGTAAATGGGTTTCTGAGGAGTAGATGATATGCAGGAAAGAAGGCAATCCAGATGTCCCCTTCCCTTATCTCACTGCTGTCCACCTTCTCTGAATTCACCCAGACTTTATTCCACAATGACAAGTGAAGCTCATGTGAAAGGCTGGGGGAACCTGAGCAACTCTCTCAGCCCATGACTTCCACACCCTCACATCACCTGAAGACAAAGGGACCAGCTAGCACCCTGTCCTACCTCCAGCATCGGGACTCTGCTCGAAATCCTTGGACATTGTTGTCCCCTCCAATCAAGTATACGAAGTTGTTGAGCACCGCGATGCCCTGGTTAGACATGCGGGGGGCCAGGGAGGCAGTGAAGTGCTTCCACTCTCCCAGTAAAGGGTTTAGATACTTGGCCTGGTCGCTGAGGACAGTGGACGGCGTGGAGTGAATGCCCCCGAAGCCCACAACGCACTGGAAGTCCGACCGCAGCTCCGTTTGCGGGCTCTGCAGGCTGGGCTGTAGGCTCTCGTTCCGGTGGTACATGAGGGCACTGGCCACTGTGTCCCTCAATGGGCTGGGGTCCAGCTTGTCATGCAGCCGCTGCAGGACCTCAGCTTCCATCAGCGGAAACCGCACTGTCTCAAGGAGCTTTGGGGGCTCATGCAGCGAGATCTGGTCAGCCTGCACCTGCTCCAGGCTGTAATGGTAGAGAAGGGCTCCCTCGTATACCTCGGTCTCGCAGGAGACCTCCAGGCGATTGCTGCTGAGGAGGGAGTAGACCTTCTCCAGTGGAAGCTGGCGGTACTTGTCAGTCCGAGAGAAGGCCACAAAGTTTTTGAGGATGTAGGTGTCCAGTTGCTCAGTCAGGCGGCTCAAATCAAACAGCTCTGCCAGCCGGTAGACATCAAGAATGTTCTCTTCGTCTACCCAGGACATGAGGAAATCACAGCAGAAATGGATAATTTCTGGGATCTGCAGAGAGAATGACACCCATTCAAGCCTGGGCTGGCGAACAGCATCTGGGGGTGGGAGACAGAATGATGGCAGAAATACAGGCCCTTGTGGGCCAGGCAAAGTGGAAGGGAAGTCCTCCTTAATTGTCCCTGACCTTTTCTGACACACTGGAGACTGGGGCTTACTGCAGACTGGGTTTAAGTCCTGGTTTGGAAACGTACCAGGTGACAGGATATACAGCATGTTTTGTTGTTTTGTTTTTTGTTTTTTGAGACGAAGTTTCACTCTTGTTGCCCAGAATGGAGTGCAGTGGCGCAATCTCGGCTCACTACCACCTCTGCCTCCCAGGTTCAAATGATTCTCCTGCCTCAGCTTCCCATACAGAATGTTTTTAACCTCTCTAAGCCTCAATCTCCTCATCTATAAAACTGGGATCATTAAAGTGAAGAGGAGTATGATGAAAATAAGAGAGTACATGGGAGTGGACCCTTGATATACGTCAGCTCCCTCTTAGATCAAAAGTACTGGCTCAGCCAGGCATGGTGGCTTACGCCTGTAATCCCAGCACTTTGGGAGGCCGAGGCGGGTGGATCACGAGGTCAGGAGATCGAGACCAGCCCGACCAACATGGTGAAACCCCGTTTCTACTAAAAATACAAAAATTGGCTGGGCGTGGTGGTGCGCGCCTATAATCCCAGCTACTCAGGAGGCTGAGGCAGAAGAATCGCTTGAACCCAGGAGGCAGAGGCTGCAGTGAGCCAAGATCGCGCCATTGCACTCCAACCTGGGTGACACAGTGAGACTCCATCTTAAAAAAAAAAAAAAGCACTGGCTCTCCAGAAAAGCAGGAAGCAGCACAAACGGTTACTGTGTCATGTATCTGTGGTTTGGAAAGGACCTAAGACCACCCCCATCCTTACCCTAGGATTCTCTAGAAGAGCCTGTCTCTCCAAAAGTGCTGGGAGCAAAAGCAAACCCCGCCTTTTCCCCCTGCCAGAACATCCACCCTGGTTCCCTAGGAGTGCTCAGAGCCTCTCAGACACCTAACCAGCACCAACCCAGAAACCTGACTTAGAATTCTTTTTCTTTTTTCTTTTTAAAATTTGAGACAGGGTCTTGCTGTGTCACCCAGGCTGGAGTGCCATGGCAAGATCACAGCTCACTGAAGTCTCAAGCTTCTGGGCTCAAGTGATCCCTGACTCAGGGTTCCTGAGGTCCCCAGCTGGGTCAAGACCCACTTGACTCCAGTAAGTGAAGGGGCTCCCAGGTGGCCACATCAACCCTTCCCAACCGTGGGGAAGCACTAGTGGTTTGAAAGGACGGCGAGAGAGAATGGCACTGGAGGGAGATGGGAATGAGGCCACAACTAGCAGGCTGTTAAAGGCCACCCTGTGAACAACCAAATCTTGGAGAATAGAAGACAAAGGTAAGGGCCCTAGGGAAAACTGCCTGGGAGAACAAACCAGGTGTTGATAAATTCTTTAGGAAAGCAGGATTTTAGAGGTTCAGTGGGGCCCCCCAGTGCCTACCTCCTTTCTTTCCGAGTTCAGATTGAAAATGACAGAGTATCTTGACCTCTCTGTGACCCAGCCAACTGCAGGTTTTCCCAGCAGGCTTGAACCCAAACCGGGCCCTTGAACATTCCCAGGCACTGATAAAGGCATCAAGGTTGTTACCCAAAACAGTGAAAGAAAAACTGGTTCTGGCCCTGAGACAAATTCCTTAAACCCTAATTGAAACTCCATACCCTAACCCACTCCATGGGCAAGCCTGGGTAAAGCCTCTCTTTTCCCTTATCTGTCTTGAGGACATGCTGCACCACTCTATACATAAGTTCCCCCTAATAAACGCTCTGGCCAGATCACCCTGGTGTTTGATGCTTCTTTCTTCGGAATCCCAAACCAGCTCCATTTCAGGATGCTGTGGGGTCCCCTCTTGCGGGAACCCCCCTGCTACCAACTCCAGTCATGGGTTCAGTGCAATAAATCAGTTTCTCTAAAAATGGAAATACCTGGCTTATCCAGGATCATCAATAAATTAACCATTACACATGGAATAATTCTGCTGGTATTTATTTATTTATTTATTTTTAAATTTTTATTTATTTATTTATTTTTGTTGAGACGGAGTCTCGCTCTGTTGCCCAGGCTGGAGTGCAGTGGCGCGATCTCGGCTCACTGCAAGCTCCGCCTCCCAAGTTCAAGCCATTCTCCTGCCTCAGCCTCCCGAGTAGCTGGGACTACAGGCGCCCGCCACCACGCCTGGCTAATTTTTTGTATTTTTAGTAGAGACTGGGTTTCACCGTGTTAGCCAGGATGGTCTTGATCTCCTGACCTCATGATCCGCCCGCCTCGGCCTCCCAAAGTGCTGGGATTACAGACGTGAGCCACAGCGTCCAGCCAAGGTATTTAAAGTTTATCAATAAATACTAACAATAACTTTTTTAAAATTCAAAAGACATCTAATATTGCTTGCAAGGTGACATGCTAAGGGCTGGATGGGACCTACCAAATGTCGGGCAGGTATGTGCCTACACTAGGTATCCCCGTGGTACTTCGCTTGGCCCTGACCATCTTCTGTGCCTACACGAGGTATCCCCATGGTGCTTTGCTCGGCCCTGACCATCTTCTGTGCCTACACAAGGTATCCCATGGTGCTTTGTTCGGCCCTGACCATCTTCACTTGACCTTCTGTTTTCCCCCTTTGCCAGTACTTCTGCTTTGCCACTTCTTTCCAAACGACTAGGTTTTCCTAAAATTCTGGTTTGTCATGGGCCAGGGTCCTGAAGACCAAGTTTTGGGCAGAATGTGAGCACAAACAGCTCTGAAGAAGCCTGGGCAGCAGCAGCTCCTTGAGAGGACCCCGCTGATACTCTTTTCAGTCCTATTTTTAGAGCAGTGGGCCTTCTGCTCAGTGAAATCTCACAGAGGAACCAGCCTGGGCTCAGGATGTGCAAAAGCCCCATAAGAGGCTCACAGAAGGGACTGCATGTGCTTGGGGCAACCCAATAGGACAGTGTTACTGGGAATCAGACTCAGGCCTCTGGGGACACCGTGAAGAGTCTGGTCCCAGGCCTAGTGCAGGGCACAACACATGGGGAAAGCTCCCAATAGTCACTAGCTATGTGAACACACACAATCCTACAGGCCTATGGACTTGACATGGTCATGCCAAGTAAAACCGGCTATAAAACAATATTGCAAAGAAGCCTGATTTTTGAGATAAGCTGGCATGTAGTAGTGTGATCACAGCTTACTGCAGTCTCCACCTCCTGGGCTCGAGTGATCCTCCCACCTCATCCTCCCGAATAGCTGGAACTACAGGTGCATACCACTATGCCCAGCTATTTTTAAAAAGCTTCTGTAGAGATGGGGTCTCGCTTTGCTGACCAGGCTGATCTCAAACTCCTGGCCTCAAGCGATCCTCTCACCTTGGCCTCCAAAGGTGCTGGGATTACAGGCATGAACCTCCAAGCCTGGCCCAGAAGCCTGACATGTTAAAAAACAAAGCTAGGCTGCTGCCCCTGAGATGGCCTCTGAGGCAGTAGGGGAGATGACCCAGGGCTGTCGGGAGCACTGGCCAAACCAACAGAGAGAGACTGTAGGCCTCCAAGCTGACTGGTGAGAGTGAAAGTGGTGTTAGGAAGATGATCTGGTTTCAGTGTGTGTGATCGCTGCAGGGAGAAGAAGGAAATGGCAGAAATATAGAGATGGAGGCCAGGCAAAGGGGAAGGAAATGGAAACACAGAACAGAGATGGTTACAAGCAATACTGAGAAGGACGACCTGTCCTCACTTGGGGAATTAAGAAGGTGGACAGGCTCAAGGAGTCACTGAGGTTGAGCCCAGGGAACTGGCAGGATGGTCACAGGACACACAGAGCAGGGGGACTGGCAGGGGAGCTCCAGGAGAGTGGCAGGTGTGAAGGAGGAGATAGGACGGCTGGAGCTGAGCCATGCTGGGGGAAATGTTTCAAAGGCAGCTGAATCAGGAATTAACTGCTGCCAGGGTGGAGAACTGGACGAGTGTTCCCAAAGTGAAAATGACAGGGATGTGGGGACAGAAGAGATCTCTAAACAAAAGAAGAGGGGGAAATTCTTTTGTTGTAAAACCCAACTCCATCTACTCACCATGCAGGTATGGTGAGACAAGTCAGTCATCTCAGATCAACCCACCCAGCATCCAGGTCCTAACAATCTGAGAATAGGGCACAGGGAGGCCGCCAGGGCCTTGTCACATGGGGTGGCACCTCCATATGCCCCCGAACAGGTTGGTTTTCCTAGGACTTGAGTGTTTTTTTAATTGCGCCAAACCTGCCCTCATGGGAAGAAAGGTCAGAATGATGAACTTAGCATAGCACTTTGTTTCACTTTTAAGAAATGTGGGAAGAGGTGACTCTCAACTCGTATCAGGCCTCTGATTGATAGTTCAAAGGCACCTGCAGGCCCAGTCCTGTTTAACTGCACCCACACCACTGAGAATAATCCTCCAAAGCATAAGTCACACTGTCAAAGCCTCAGAAAACTTTTTGAATTCTGTAGGAAAACAAGTACTTAAACTTCAATAACAGGTTGGGCACAGAGGCTCACACCTGTAATCCCAGAACTTGGGGAATCCAAGGTGGGAGTATCACCTGAGGCCAAGAGTTTGAGACCAGCCTGGGCAACATAACAAGGCCCCATCCCTGGCTGGGCGCAGTGGCTCACATCTGTAATCCCAGCACTTTGGGAGGCCAAGGCAGATGGATCACCTGAGGTCGGGAGTTCGAGACCAGCCTGACCAACATAGAGAAACCCCATCTCTACTAAAAATATAAATAAAACTAGCCAGGCATGGTGGCACATGCCTGTAATCCCAGCTACTCAGGAGGCTGAGGCAGAAGTGCTTGAACCCAGGAGGCAGAGGTTGCAGTGAGCCGAGATCGTGCCACTGCATGCCAGCCTGGGTGACAGAGCAAGACTCTGTCTCAAAAAAACAAAAAACAAAACAAAACAAAAAAAAAACAAGGCCCCATCCCATCCGTATAAAAATATATATACATATATGTATCAGCTAGGCACAGTGGCATGCATCTTTAGTCCCAGCTACTCAGAAGGCTGAGGCAGGAGGATCACTTGAGCCTAGGGGGTGGAGGTTACAGTGAACTATGATCATGCCATTGCATTACAGTCTGGGTAACAGAGTGAGATCCTGTCTTTTAAAAAAAATAAACAGGCCAAGCACATTGGCTCACACCTGTAGTCCCAACACTTTGGAAGGCTGAGGTGGATCACTTGAGGCCAGGGGTTCAAGACTAGCCTAAGCAACAAAGCAAGCCCCTATCTCTATAAAAAAAAAATTTAAAAATTAGCCAGGTGTGGTGGCACATGCCTGTAGGTCCCAACTACTTAGGAGGCTGAGGCAGAAGGATTGCTGGAGTCCAGGAGGTTGAGGCTGCAGTGAGCTGTGATTGTGCCACTGCACTCTAGCCTGGGCAAGAGAGAGAGAGCTTGTCTCCAATAAATTGAATGAGCGGATGGATGGATGCATGCATGCATGGATGGATGGATGGAGAAATAAATAGATAAAGTTCAATAACAAAAAGCATATGTTTTCAAGAGACTGAAGTGGTCCAGTGCGGGGACAGGCAGGAAGGGCCCTGGCAGCAATGCTGGTGGACGCTCCGCATTGCCAGACTCCAAAGCACACAGGACGTCCGCATGCAGCCTCGGGTCAGCCTACCTGCTTATGTTCAGGATGCTTTCAATGACAGGGAGACTCAGACAGTGGGGAAACAACCAGCAATAGTGAAGAGGGCAAAGGCAGAGGGCCTGGGGTGTCTGAAGCAGCTCTGTTTTAGCTCTAGGGCACAACTCCAGAGTCCTCCCCACTTCATGGCCTTCTTCACTGCTTGGTCTCCTCACACTCCTGACCCATCTTCAAGCCAATGCTAGTGCCTGGCAGGCATCATGGGCATCTCAGGGAACCCCACTTGGGTGTGGGTCTGCCTTGCTAGACGAGACATGCCTCACCTGAAGTTGGCAGGCAGCCACCAGTGTCTCTTGCACATTGCTCAGGCTGAGCTCCAGCTCGGAGGTGTATATGAAATGTAGGATTTGGCACATAGCATTGTAGGACACGCCGTGGATCAGGACCTCTTCCTGTTCCATCTCTTTCAATCCCCCAGCAAACATTCCTCTGAAAGGTGAAGACACAAGAAAATTGAGTTATACCAACAAGGACTCAAGCCCAGGTTGCCAAGAGTGACAGTATTCAGAGAAGAACCTGGTGCTGGAGGCGGGGCCCGGGGAGTGGGCTGACCCACTCTGTGCTCTGAGTGAACTGTGTGCACGCATGAGCCATCCCACAAAAGGATCCTGACCAAGTCTGGGCAGCCATCCTGGAAATTGTCCTGTTTCCCTTTTCATGGGCCCAAGGAGTCCCGTATGAGCCTCGGGAGGGGAGGCCACGCACAGCTTGCTTCTGCTGTGTTCATCAGTGCAGTTCCTGGATCGGAGCAGTAGCAACTCCAGAGCACATTTCAAAGCAATGAATTAATGGGAAACTAATACAAGTCGTTTCATTCAATGTATATTTATGAAGTTCCTACCAAATGCCAAGTATCATTCAAAGAGCAGAAGGAGGCCAGGCACGGTGACTCACATCTGTAATCCCAGAACTTTGGGAGGCCGAGGCAGGCGGATCATTTCAGGTCAGGAGTTCAAAACCAGCCTGGCCCATAAGGTGAAATTGCATCTCTACTAAAAATACAAAAATTAGCTGGGCGTGATGGTGTCTCCTCTGAGTTCCTCAGATGG